TAACTGACAGACCCGCAGAAAACCCGCCCATGCGTCAACATGACAATCGCATATAATCGGTGACAAATGCTTGTCCTGCACGCGTTCGACCAAAGGAGAAGAAAGAAACCTTCCGTTCGACACGGTTTACGCATATTCGGCAGTCGCTGTCGCTGTCGACCGACATTGTTTAAAAGACGAATGATTTGAAAAAGAAATGATGAAAAATAAATGAGAACGCGAATTTACCTTCCACGGATTTCCTTTCACGCGTGCACCGGTGGAACCTCTGAGAATTGTTCCTTTTTCCTTTTACAAATTCGTTCTACAATCAAGGTTCTCTCACTGCATCGTAGTCACGCGGAACGAACGGGTTGCATGTGACGAAATTGACGGAATTCTCCGTGTCACTGAAAAAAAAAAGCGGAAATGTATTTAAAGGAAAAAGAATTCAATGCCGCATGCCTCAAATGTCTTTCTCTGTGCTTATCAGTGTTGACGAGCGAAACTCGACATAGTTTCTTTGACTTGAGCGGCTTTCTTTGTGACCGCCTGTTTTTTTAATTTTATTTAAAAAACGTCTTGCGTCCAAGAAATTGGATTTTCAAAAAAAGAGAGTTTCAAGTTTCGAGATTTTATTAATACTGTTCGTGCAGCTATTTTGTCACGAATTGTTACACCCTTTCCGGTGATTGGTTGCAATTTGAGGGGTTTTCCTATTTTGATAATTGTAATATACCGTTCGTGGGAATCTCGTCTGAGTACGCAAGATTTTGATTCCGATTGAAGAATTGACAAAATCACTCTGGAATGAAATAAAAATCGTGGCAAATCTCTGTTCCTCTGTTTATAGCATAATCTTTGTTTGCGCTTTTATGGTGCATAATATGGCAGAGAGGAAAGGAATTGTGTTCTGACGCAGGCGAGTTAATGAATGCAATTGCAGATTGAATTATTGCACAATTTAATTGCCTGATGGTAAAAATTCTGTCCAATTGCAACATTTAATCATCAAATTGAAAATTTTGAATGATCAATTCAACTTTATCTGTAAAATGTTCGCCCATTTCCTAACACAATTTCACTTCTACAAAATTATAATTTCAATTGCGATACGTCTTTCAATGTTTTGGCCAATCAAAACTTTAATTCATTCAATCTGTTCCGTGTCATGCAGTTTGGATTCGATCCATGAAGATCATATCTTCAATCCATTTCACGTATAACTGAGGATTTCTTTTGAAACAGAGCTTTTCTAGAAGAAGAAAAAAAACACATTTCATTCATCGTTGTGGAGATGAGTGAACCATGGTGCATTTCAAAAGAACGGGGAGTTTTTCTTGTGCAAATTTCGTGGAAATTTTTGCGGGCATTCCAACAAAAAAAAAGAAAACTCGTCATACTCTAAAAGGCTTTTCCGCCCATCAGACAGTATTTGTTCGTTTACCCCCTTCTCGCAGCAACAGGGTTTCGTATAATTCGACTTTGTTTCGTTAGGAAAGTGTTTATTTTTTTTACAACTACAGTATTTTTTTTTACCGTGCACGCGAACGAACTGGATTCGTGTGAGCGGATTTCAGAGCCTACTTTGAATGCGGATGTTCGCCGACGTGGCGCAAGCTTTTTCGGCGTTCGATTTTAGCATTTCATTCGCCACGGTCTCGTCAGAAGCCGTAAAAAGAAAAGCCGAGTAATATGGAAATAAATATGAAAGAAAATATGTGAACGAAAGGTCTTCGTCACACGGTGTTCGAAGTCGAAAACAAGCGTTTCCAAAAAAGGCCAGACTTCGATTTTTACGCGGACGAAAAGCGTCTTCTGACTTGTGGATGACTTCGAAAGTTTTACAATGACGTTTTTACCCTTTTCAAAACTTGTCGGTTTCACAAAGAAGTGAAATTCCCCTAAAATGTTGCATGGGGTAAATGTACTGAGAGGAAGTCCTTCTTACAGAAAATAATACTGTACTGAACAGTTGGAGTACGTAGAATTCCTCATTGATGGTTTCACGTCATCAAATGGTCCCGTATTTAATGAGCAATACGAGGCGATTTAGAATCTATTCTATACTGTATATATATATTCGGAATTTTCTTCCTAAAATAAAAAAAACGAATTTTCAACATGAAATAACAGAAAAACGACCATAAACGAAGAAAAAGGCGTTCAGCACGCACAGTTAAGGCTAAAAAAAAAGCAATATATCTGTTGATTTGAAAATTATATGGGTAGCTAAATTTCCTCTTAATGCATCCCCATTCCGCTCTTCCCAAAAAATTGACAGAATGATGTCACTGATGTGCAAGTTTAATACTGTATCTGAAGCACAGTCTTTGATACAAGGAAAGAATCGGTGTTCAGCCCGAGTTCCTCCTGAACCAATGTAATTATGCGAAGCGTCTATTATCCGGAGGTACCACTGTACGGTACTGTACTCGTATGCGATAATTGGACGAAAGATTATCCAGGCAAAATTAATGTTCTGGTGATATTTCAGGAATTACGACGAGCTGCGGCGGATCAACGGTCCTCGGAATTCGCTCGCTGGTCGGCCATTCACTGTTGCGTAGTCATATATATTCTATTTTATTTTTTGCGTGGTACATCAGGAGACTGACGTTTCCTTGCCCTGTACTTCCAGGCCATTCTTTACAAGAGCAAATCTCTAACGATGCTACGCTGGTGGAACACGGAAGAGAAAAAAAAAAAGAGAAAAAAAGAAAAGAGCAAAAAAAAAGAAGCGTGGAATCGGTAGACGAGTGGAATAAATCGGGCGTCACTTCAAGCGCCCGCGGGGCTTGTGTGAGGCCCGCGACTAATCCGCTTCCGCGGAGTCCCATCACGGTTGCAAGCCCGACTGATCCCCAGCTCCGATTGTGCAGGCGGATATCCTGTATATACATATATATATATATCCCCCCCCCCTTTGTGGTGTGACTTTCAGCCGAAGCCCATGGGTTTATTTTTTTTATTATTTTTTTGCTGGTCACTTGAACTGGTTCCTTTTTCGACCCCTTTCGGTACGTGTATAGGGAGACCCGAAAGTTTGGAGGGAATCGTGTGGAAGGAGTGTTGCTACTCTTGTTTATTTTATTTTATTTTTCGGATTTGTCACATGACTAAAACCAAGCATAGGTTTGTTTTCTGGTCACTTGAACTGATGCTGGTTCCACATGATTTTCCCCGTCTCGTTGATGGGTAGGGTATTCCGAAAGCTTGAAGAGCACCTCTAAAGGCCTCCAGTACAGTATAGCCATAAAAAAATACCCTTATTGAGTTTTACCCCCCCCCCCCCCCCCCCCCCCTCAAAAAAAAAAACCCTTTTTGTGTTTTCCCCCCCCCCCCCCCCCCCCCGAGAAAAAAATGAATGTAACTAATTCGTTCGCACATTTGTGCAATTTTGTTCTTCCAAAATCGGACGCGATTCGTTATGTGAGGACCGTGAATTTTTTGAGATTGGAATGCGAGATGAAATGGTTTAAGGTCGAAAGTTTGTCTTGCTGTGATGATTTTTAGAATCAGACACCAGTTGCAAAAAAATCAAGAACGCCAGATAATTAAAAACAATTTGTTTTAGCGCACTTCATTGCTTTAAATGTAGGTAATGGTGCTATACCGTATGTATGTCAGTATGTGGGCAAACGTTTTGGTTATGCAGAACTTGTGTTTAGAATCGTGGCTGAAAATAAGTGTTTCACTGATTCTTGCTTCTGAGGAACAAAGGGGTGAAAAAAATTCCACATGTCAGCGGAATCTTCAAGCTTGTTATCTTCTTCAGCTCCCTGAATGATCGAGCATTTCGAAAGATTAATAACAACAGTAAATCATGCAGGGGTGCAAAAGAAGCAGTTGATCAGTAATTGGCAACCGGAAGTTACTTTCACAAAGAATGAATAATGGATAACCATGCTCAGCTTAGTTCGTTATGATTTACAATTTATTAACGCATGAAAAGTCTAAAACGCATCTTGATTGGAAGCTCAGAGTGCTTTGAAATATTTGAGTAGATATGGCGATGTTTCGTTGAAAGCTTGAGCTTTCGGATTCCGAACGATCTTTCACCAGGGCATTAACATCTCGACAGTTTATTTTGGCAGATGTTGATCAACTAAAATTCAGCAATGAAAACAGTTGAATTTCGCATCCACGCCCGCTCCCGCGATTTTTAAACTTCCGGATCTCCCCACGCATTTTTCGGCGGGTTCCGTGGGAGTCCCGCACTGGTTCGGTGTGACGGAGGTGGGACGGAGGGCTTTTCTGGTACCCTGACTGATTGCAATTTGGTTGAGTAATGCCCGGCGATTCAAAAGAAGAGCTTTGGGGAAAAGTTTGCCGGGGAACTTGGCGTTGACGTGACATTCAGGCTTCGGCATCTCTTGTTAAAGGGAATGACGCGGAGAGCAAAAATAAAAAAAATAAAAACGATCGTTGGGCAAAGGAATTTCGCGTACGCGCGACTTCCCCGAGCCTATAACGAAATAATAGGCTCAGGGCGATCCTTTGCGGATTAGAGGACTTTGAAGCATACTATTTCTTTAGCTAGATCTTTTCCAAGAATTGGGGGACTGAATTGAAAATATTTTCAGAAGTCAATGAGTGGCGTAAGCCAAAATGACGAAGAATTCGGTGCGAATTTTCGCTGCGCTTTACACAAGAGGGATAGAACGAAAACGTTGAAATTTGAAACTTGATGAAATGAAGGAATTTTTTTTTAACGTGCTGACTAATATTCTGCAGCGAAATGTTCAAGGATTTGAGCCATATTGTGAAAAGTTTTTTTTTTTATTCACGTGGCGCATTTTTTCGGCAAAAATTTCAACATTTTCACTGAAATGAATTCTCAGAGGAATCGGGGCGCGGCCGAAGGTCCCACGAATGCGGCATATTAGATTATTTTCCCGTGCATTATTTTTTCACGATCGATTTCTTGATGTGTGTCCTCCGTAAAGTGAAGAATTCTTGCAAATCGAATGCTGATGAAACATTATTTTTCTTGCTTTTGCGAACAGATCAGTCCGAAGATGACCATGGATTCCGGTCCGACGAGCGGGCCGATCGCAGCGCGCCCTGTCGTCTCGAGTGGGCCACTGATGACGATGCCGCTGCCTGCGGGCTCCACTACCACAACGACGACAGCCACTACACCGGCGCCGAACGGCGCCCACACCCTGAACCCCGGCGTGGTGAACGGTGCCACGGCGCCGCGCGGCCAACACCTGTGTCACGGCTGCGGGAAACGCATCGGCGACCGCTTCCTCCTCAAGGCCCTGGACGTGTTCTGGCACGAAGACTGCCTCAAGTGCGGCTGCTGTGACTGCCGCCTCGGCGAGGTCGGCTCCTCGCTGTACACCAAGGCCAACCTCATTTTGTGCAAGCGCGACTACCTTAGGTGAGATACGCGTAACCCTTTTCTGGAACGACGAGCGAAGCTTTCAAGTGTTCGAAAAACTGCGACAAAATCGATGAAAGAATTTACTGTGCAGTGATGCACGAACGCGCATGCGCAGGCCGCATAAAAATTTTTCAGTGGCAGTTTCGCGAGAAAAAGAAACACTTCAACGTTTATGGAGTAAAATATTCGGAAAAAATACCGTATTCATCCCAATACCACGCTAACCTTTTTTATTAAAAAAAAATGGTCAAAAAAGTGGGGTGCACGTGGAATGTGGGTATAAATTTGAAAAAAGGCACTAAATCATAGAGGAATAAGTTTGAAGTTAGTCTTAGTTGCCAATAAAATTAATATGAACTTTTGTTTGTCACCAATCCTGTTTAAAATGCTCTATTTTCTTTCATTTAATTATAAAAAAGTTCAGTTGCAGACTTCCATCTGGTAAAAAAAATTAGATTTTCAGTAAACAACAACTGGGTTTCAGGTTTCATGTAGGAATGCGTTCTTGGGCAAATTTTGCCCCGAAAATTCGCGTCTTAATTGGGGGCGCGTGGTACTCAAAAAAATATGGCATATAATCAACGGTAGGCATATAGACTGATAAAATGTTGACAATTTTTCCGAGAAAAATCGGTAAAATTAGGTAATACACTTGGCCGCACCTCAGGAAAGAACACCTTTTTCTGGAATGACAAGAAACATACAAATTTTCGAAAACTGGGGCAACAAAATAAACTATTCATAAAATTCTGGTTTTCACGCGCATGTATGGGCAGAACTTGGATTTTGAGCAGCCGTTTTA